CAGTATTCATTATTACCTAAACAAAAGTTTTGTATAAGCTTTAAGAACTCATTATGTATGTACTTAAAACTTGGTATACACTTTGCGATGGTCAGAGTGACTTTGTAGGAAGAGATATCGGCGAAAGTAGTGGTGGTAGGGTGCTTTCTATTACACGCCTTCAACTCCTAGCTCTTAATATCCTTTCACAATGTTTTACGTAATTGATTAATTGACAGTCATTGGCGGCAGAAGTGTCTTACTGGCCAAAGTTTAAAGGTCACGGATCAAAGTAGGAAGTTGGTATAATTCAAGAAACGGCTCTTCATATCAGCCTTATAGTAGCTGTTAGAGTAAAAGCTTCGGCTGAGTTTATGTAGTATTGTAATAGTAGCGGCCATTTGTTTTCGCTGCAATCCTCCGTAGAGAGAACAAATGTGCTGAGATTTTTCTTTTTCTTTTGGTGTAAGGTCGTGGTGCCATCTATCAATGTAGTTAATTTATGTCAAAGATAATAAATGACAGTAATAATTGGGGTGAAGGGGTTGGGAACGCCATTAACGTGCCTCTTGTTCCAAACTATCATTCCACAAAGTTTGGTTGAAATTGGCCTAGCGACCTAGGAGTAGTTAGGTAACGGACAAACAGATACACACAGAGATTTTTATGCTTTATATACATGATAGAGATGTATTGATATTTACGCTAGAATTAAGGGTTTTAAAAAGATGAGGCAAATATTTGTGGTGTGTAATTAATATTATCAGAGAATTTTATAAATATTCACAATAAAACAGTTTTACTTTCATTAAATGACTATGAAATAAGCAGGAAAAAAGATGTGTTATTTGTATTTTACTTGACTGGTTTATGAAATTTACTTTTCTTTAAAGTGTATGATATCACACCGTATTTCGGAGAAATAAACTCTGTTAGACACTTAAATTACTGTAATTACTATACATGAACAATTTGCATTTTATTTCAGGATTAATCATATTTTGCATCGCTTTCGGTGTCATCTGTAGTCAACTTGGTGAAGAAGGCGAAATGATGGTGAATTTTTTCGTAATTTTAAACGACATAATAATGAAGATTGTCGTCCTGGTAATGTGGTAAGTACAACCTTCAATTATCATTAATCCAAGCAGACATACTTTATCTTACAGTAACTAAAGTAATATAATTGTATGTGTATACAGTTATAAGGCATTAAAAGGAACTTTTTTTGAAATCATCTGTAACTTTTCATGTTTGTTCGAAATTATTCATCTATCATTTTCATGAAATAGTCCTAGTAAATGGAATATGTTTTTAAACAATGAGTTTTTTTTCAACAATGGTATACTTAATTCATAAGGACCTCAGTGGGTCTTCGTGTATGGTTAGCCTATAGGATTGGGGTTTGGGGCATGGTGCTATCGAGTATGTTTCTCATTTTTAGCGTTATCATTCCCGCTGTTATGGTTAAGAATAGTCACTTCAATTGTGTGCAAACAAACAAAAAACAAACCTCATTGATGTAAACCTTAACCTTTTTAACATATAATGTTTGAAATGTCTTTTACAAAATCCATCTGATAAACATGTATTTCAGAATGCATACCCATACAAACAAAAACAAAATCTGTAAAGACAGCATATGCGAGAGGTCACGTAACGTAACCAATTTTGGACGAAACCATAAAGAGCGCGCATTTGTGAACCTACGCATATAGCAAAGTTTAAAATGTTTACATTTCTCTATCTTGCCCGCTGTTATTGACTAAGAAAGGCTAATTGGCTTTGACCAAAACATTGCTCTGGTTATTTTTATCAAGTAGACTTCTGTGTCTTTGAACAAATACTACGTTTTCTCTCTTTTAAAATCTATATCAACCAAATATAATTTTCTTATAGGGAGTAGAAAGTAACCAAAATATAGGTCGTATCATTCTGTTTCATAGTTTCATATTACTTTGGTTTGATTGAGAGCGTTCTCTCCTATCATGTCTCTCGCTTAGGTTTTGATACAGGAAACTATTTTTAACTGAAATCCTGTTCTCGTTACTCTACGCTCTGAGGATATTGTTTTTTGAAGCAGCATTCCTAACATTTTTATTAGTTTGACAGTTTTTATTTTCTTGTAATGTCTGATCATTATTTGACTGAAACACTTAGGTGCATTACAATCCTCCATAATGCTGTAACTAAGTTGATATATTAGGTTGAAAACTAAAAGTTAACCTCTACATGTTAGGTACTCACCATTCGGTATAATGTCCCTGATAATCGGAAAAATAATGGATATAAAAGATTTAGCTCGAACCGCGCAACAGCTGGGATTGTACATGTTGACTGTAATCACTGGCCTCATCATTCATGCTGGACTTACTCTACCGCTTCTCTACTTTGCCATCACCAGAAAGAACCCCTTGACTTTCGTGAAGGGGATGCTACAGGCGTGGATCACTGCTCTAGGAACTGCCTCAAGGTATGTACGTGTTTCTTCATTATTATTTCCCGTATGTACAGTCGCTACAAAAACATGTATATATATATATATATATATATTTATATATATATAATATAATAGTACTGTCTGTTGTATGTCCATGTAACTACTTCCATGGTGTGGATGGATCTTCGCCAAAATTAGCATGAAGATTCATTAGGTCCATGTGGGGGAACATACAAATTTAAAATTTCGCATTTTGTGGTTTTATGGGCATTT